CGCTTTCAAGGTGAACTATCAAAAAAACACCTGCCTGAGTCAGGGGCACAAACCTAACTGGAATCTGAGTGTTTAAAAAAATCTCATGACAAAATCACTTGAGAATAAAAATATGCTGTAGACTTGAAGAGTGGTATCTAAAATACAGCCATTTTCGTGCCCATAGTCCACATCTGCAAGTAATTATGGGTGCAAATGTGGATATGTCAACATCTACATACATTAATGTACCTGTTAATCTGATAGTTAGATGTCTGTTTGTTATCAAATAACAAACTCTGCGAAACTGTTCCCACAATTATGTGTGAGTGTGAAAAGGGAAGATATGTCAACATTTAATCCAGGGAATTCTAATGTTGATCATACTCAAATAGAAATCACATTAGTATCAAAGATAAATACACATCTTTTAGGAAGACATTAATATTTTCCTTCATTTCTATTTTATTGAGAACTATTTTTCCAACCATATCTTTCTCATCAATTGTCTTTCGTGTAGCAATAAATAAGGAAGTTACATGAACTTGCATGAGCAGAATTTCCAGTAGTTTGTTTTAAATAATTTCCAGTCCAGGAGGCTAGGCACTGATCTTTCTGATTAATTAAAATGGCTCTTTAAACAGTCCTTTACATATTGAGCTGAAATTTAAGTTTAAAAGCATAATTGCAAACCCCTCTACACAAAACCTTACCCAGACAAAATGTCAGACTTGCATATCTATGGCTCAGTCAAAGAAGAGGGATTTTTTTTCTCTTTCTTTCACAGATATATACTGATYAGTTACTATCCTGAGAAGAGACATTTTCCCGACTAGATTGTCATTGAAATTGTTGCATTACACTAAAGCAAAGTACAAGTTTCAAGGAAGTGACTTTTCCAATCTAATCCAGCAAGATTGTTTTGCTGTGTYGGACCAAAACCATTCTAATTAGGAGCTACTTGCTTTCTCGTAGCTTTTAAGGTGGAGTTTTTAATTTCAGATGTCTGGTATGCACATGAAGTTTTTTTCCTGGAAAACTTCAGCTGTCGCTAGGACTATGATTAAGAGGTTATATTGTTATGTTGATTATTAAAGTGTAAACTACCAGCTACTTTGTTAAGTTTTGGCACATTAAAAGTCTGGCTCAAGAACCTGCTGGTTGAGAAAAGCTTAGCCTCAGTGCTGAAGAARTGCTTAATGATATCCTTCTGAAAATCTTATCAAACTGGTTGTAAACCTCTGAAAAGTCGCCTTTAGCTTGTGCCAAGTAGTTTGTCACAGCCTGGAAGTGATCTCTTTTTAATAACCCTTCTCTACTCCTAGAGAGCTCCTTAGAGTTCTTGTAATCTGCAGCCAAGAGGATTTCTCTGGTAGGTTTCCCCTGCTGAAAGCTGCTGCGGCTTCTGGGAATCACACATCATGAAAACAAACTKCACTGCCTGCCTTTTGCCACCCTAAGGAGTTCAGCATTGCCCRTTCATACTTTGGCCTTTCTGCCTTTTGCTTTATTTATATAGACACACATAACCCTCCAAGGCACTACATTTGAAGATAACACATTAAAAGAACATTAGCCTGCATACTTGCCTCCACTGGTCCTTTGTGTAAGCAATGATGCAGGCTCTAATTACCTGTGTACATTGAATATTTTTTTCCCCCACCAGTGCCCTGACCTCACTCATAACAAGGTCTGAGCTTGGGACTCAGTCAGGACGGTGTGTTGAATGGAGCTGTATTGTAAACAAAGTTTTATAGACCTCTTCCCCTCTTCATTGCAGAAGTTCAAGGGGTGTGACCAAAACAAAAACACTGTGGGATTAAAAACAAAACAATGGTTGCCCAAGTAAAACCAAGACAGGTTCTCCTGCACTCTTTGACACTGTGGGTGTTTGCTGTGGGTGAGTGTGTACTGCAGAGATAACTGAGCAGTTCAGGCACCAGGAACAGTTCTGCAGCAGCGCGAGGGAATTCATTCTYCTGAGCTGAGCTCAGAGCTACCTGAAACTTCTACAGCCAGACTGGTTCATGCAGCTGGGTTTGCTTGGGTGGACAGGAGTTTGCAGTGTAGAAAATACACAGAGCTTTTCTGTGTCRCTTGGTTGCATGCACTGTATTGTGCAAGGGTGGGCAGTCAGCAATTTTGTGTTTCTTACTACTTAACTCACAGCCTGGGATACTCCTTTTGTGTGTGGGCTCAACACACAWAACCACAAACAGAATTGATGGGAGCCATACTTTGAAATGCTACAAATGTTAAATGATCAGCCAGAAAGCTAAATGTATTACTTAATTATACTAAAAATCTTTACTGATAATTTCTTATGCAAAAACAAGGTGTCTGTGTCTTTCAATAGACATCTCTAAATGTCATCATTAGACTTCAAAGTAGAAGAGCAAAAATCATTCACTACTTCACATCTGTGCAATAAGATAATAAATGTAAGGAGTACCATTAAAAATAGATAAAATAATCAAATGTAGTAAGAGATTCAAATATTTAAGAAAGAAAAACTGGGACCTTGAACATAAGATCAGGTAAAAAATCAATTGTTGCCTATATATAATGGAATCATAGAATGGTTTGTGTTGGTAGGGACTTTAAGGATCATTTAGTTCCAACCCTCCTACCTTGGGCATGGAMGCATTCCACTAAGCCAGGTTTCTCAGAGCCCCATCCTGGAGCTTCAACACTTCCAGGGATGAGGCCTCCACAACTTCTCTGGGTAACCTGTTCCAGTGCCTCACCATGCTTGTAGAGATTTCTTTTTTATGTCCAATCCAAACTTAAACTCTTTAAATTTAAACCCATTCTCCCCTGTCTTTGTCAGAAGTCCCTCTCCAGCTCTCCTGTAGCCCCTTTAGGTTCTGGAAATCTGCTGCAAGGTTTCCCTGGAGCCCTCTCTTCTCCAGGCTGAACAACCCCAAATCTTGCAACCCATCTTTGTAGGAGGTGCTTCAGCCTCCAGCCCTGTGACCACCTTTGTGGTCTCCTCTGGACTCACTCCAAAAAGTCCATGTCCTTCCTYTGTGRGGGCTCCAGACCTGGRTGTACTCCAGGTSGGATCTCATGAGAGCAGAGTGGGGRAATGAGAATGTTTGAGACAAAGTTTCTCTGCCCTAGTATGCAGTAAGGCTACGCAACCAACTGCTATTCAAATGCTTCCCAAATAATTGGAACTTTATAATGTTGGTGTGGTTTGGGGGTTGGTTTTGTTGAGTTGTTTTATTTTTAATATGGATACCTTTAAAATACAGCAAACATGGTCTGCACAATGGAATGAAAAGTAGCTGTACTCTGCTTCCTATTTTTCTCTCAGAGATGATTTTCATTCAGATCCTTTCTTTTTTATTTTTCCCAGCCTGCAATCAGCTGAGGATTTTTGCTGAACTGCTCAGAAACCTTGCTGTCTTGCATACTGAAACATGAAGTACTGTATATCTCTCTCTAGAAAGGAAAAGTTAATACCAGAGGGTTCTAACTGAGGTCATACTTTCTCCWTGTCTAGACATCTTTGGTAATCTCTCCCTTTTATAATACTGCTGTGCCTTCCATGTACTCAATGTGAGTAAAGCGCTTTGCACTGAGTTGCATAAAATATTCTGAATTTCCAGACAAATTTCAGTGCAGAATTGTTAAGGCTGRTGTGTGTGATCTTTTATGAAATCAGATTTTTTTTCCTCTGAGGAACTTTGCTCAGTAAACCAGTGGTAAATTTGGAATGAAAATATGACTGATGTGGTTCCTTAATGCCCAGCTTGTTAAGCAAATGCTTTTGAATCCAGTTCCCAGTAAACAAGCTAAACTTCTTGTTCCACTAGAAATGTATTTTACTAAGAATCTTTGTAGATCACYCTTTATGCAAAAAATAATGTCACAAGTCATGGTTTTGAGCAGAATAAAGTGAACATWTTATAAATTAAATCATCTGCTGAATCAGTGTTTGCCCTTATAGTTCCATTTTTTAAATATTAATACCCTTTTCTAACTCTTTGTACATAAATAAGCTTTTAAGAGAGTAACAATGAAATATAGACAATCCACATCAAATGAATGTAAACTTTTGATGTGATTATCAAAGGTCTGTTGGATTTTGTCTAATTTTAATTAGTATTGGTCTCTAACCAACMAATTCAAGTCTTGCATGGATTTTTTAAATCCAAACATTATGCCCCCTTGCACGAAGGATTTTGGCTTAATTTGGTCCATTATAACATTGCCCCATATACTGTTTATTAATAAAATTATGTAGAAGTTCAGATTTTGAAAACTAAAGGGCTGAGGATTTACTTTAGCATGGAGCARTTACCAAAGTGGTCAAACTCCGGTAAAGGCTTTTAGGGTGGCTTTTTTCAATATTAGCTGTTTGATACTGTAATGTTTAAAAAATACTGTAATGTTTAAAAATAATATAGTAACCTGAAATTCTTCCTGACATATAAACTAAGTAGGTTATAAAATCATAGAATAATAAGGTTGGAAAAGGCTTCCAACACCATTAAGTCCCACCTTTGACTGATCGTCACCTTGTCATCTACACCMCAGCACTAAGTGCCAYRCCCAGTCCTTTCTTGAACAYTTCCARGGATGGTGACTCCACCAYCTCCCTRRGCAGCCCTTTCAGTGAAGACAYTYTTCCTGATGTCCAGCCTGAACATTCCCTGGTGCAGCCTGAGGCCAYGTCCTCTTGTCCAGTCACTGCTGCCTGGGAGAGGAGCCCAACCCCCACCKGGCTACAGYCTCCTCTCCAGWGCTGTGGACAGTGAAAAAGCCTCCCCTGAGTCTCCTTTTCTCCAGACTAAACCCCTCCAGCTCCCTCAGCTGYTCCTCATCTGACTTRTGCTCCAGAGGCTTCACCAGCTCTGGGGTTCTTGGGAACAAAACTCTTCTCTGCCTTGTTCCAGCWCCACAATGTCCTTCTTGTAGTGAGGGACCCAAAACTGGACACAGGGCTCAAGCTGTGGGCTCACCACTGCCCAGTACAGAGGGACAATCACTTTCCCAGTCCTGCTGGGCTCRAAAATATTTTGCAGCTCTTCATGAATCTGCGTGTGATCCTTTCCCAGGAGCCAYACTAATCTTGTCTGTCTTGTTCCAATTTTAGTGTATGTACCAAAGTGAAATATGCAATAGTGTCAATACTTTCAATGTCATGKAGAGTTTTAGCATGGAGATACTGGCCATTGCAAATAACTATTAAATAGGATTGCCACATACATATTTGCAACACGTTCCTATATGCTTTTACTGATTTCAGTCTTTTTTTTCCTTGAGAAACWCCAAATATTGTCTGAACAGGCAAAGAAACACAAAGTTAATCAGACTAAAATTATTAGACCTACAAGGCTATTTGAGTTTTGCTAAGACATTAGAAATCAGCTCTATTTTTTTTCCCGCTTAGATCTTGAACAAAGGAAGAGAACCCACCCAAGCAGCAAGGGGTGATTCATGGATTCTGAAACCAGAAAGAACCACTGGTTAATCTCCACCCACAGGACCTGTATTGTTTGTTTCCCCAAAAGGTCCTCAGAGAGGGGAAAGCCATGGCCAAGTGGTGTCTCAGCCCTCCAGCCCATTCCAGCTGGTGCAGGGAGAGGAGCTGAGTGTGGGAAGGGTGCTGGATGTGAGCAGGAATGGTCAGACACTGCAGGATGGGGAATGGGTCTGAGAGAATGGAAAGGAATGGACACCAGGACCCACATTTTACCAGGACCCACTCAGCAGTGGCCACTCCCTTCTCACTGCCCCCAAATTCCCCTCTTCACAGCTCCTCTGGCCCCTCAAACCTCCCTGCAAGATACAAATAATCCCCTCAGCTCCATTCCTCTTCACTCACTTCTCCAAGGCTTACTCTGGCACCACCTTGACACCCATACAAACTTTGCCTAATGTCAAAGATTAGGTTTCTCCTCTGCATCCATTTTGGATGAGTTTTTCATGTTTCCAAAGTTGCACAAGTGCTTTTTCCTGGGGGCATGGGCTGGCAACTCCTCTCTSCAAAAGGCTTTTGCTCCCTGCTCCCGGCATTTCAGTGTGTTCAAACTCCTGCTGAATTCAGGTCACCTACCCAGGAGGTTCTGCACACTCYGACTTGTGATTGCTTTCCACAGCATCAGCTTCATGTCCTCTTTGAACTGCACCCAGCWTTATTTCCAAACAAGGGTTACAATGGTTTAGGACCAAGAGTCTTGCAGTGTTTTGCAGTAATGGCCTGATAATTAATGCCTTTCCATCAATGCATACATATTGAGTGCTATCAGTCAAGTGGCTTTTAAATAATGTAATCTGTGCTCTATTAATTACATATAATGYAGGATTTTAAAGCACAATGTCATGTGCAGTATGTCAAATGCCYCAGTGAAATTTAATTACACTGTAACAATACAGTTACCTTTGTCAACCAGACCTATAATCTTATAAAAGAAAAACCTTAAGAAGATAATTTGACAAGAACTRCTTTCTCTGAAACTAGGTTGAATGATATAGCTTTATTTTTAGCACATAATTCCCTGTTGATAGGGTGCTAACTTTGTCCAGCTTTCTATCTTTTTTCCCTAAAATTAGCATCAGAAAAACTGATATATCATTTCCTGGGCCATTTTCTTTAAATGCTAYGATTGCTTTGGCAAGTCAGCAATTCCTTGAAATATCCTTTCTTTCTCAAGATTAGTAAAGAAAATTGACTCTAATGGTCCAGAGACCTTTTGACTAATTCACTTAAACTTCTTAGGTAAGAAAGAGATTTTAAATATTTTGTTTCAGCAGAAGATATGAACTATTCAGATGCACTAATTGGTTGGTTTAATTCCCTTTAATCTTGTATTCCAGTTACTATTTAGGGTTTTTGGATTTTTTTAAAGAAATCTGCTGGCTGATATTGCCATTCATTTATTTCTGAAAGGAAGAAATGCAGATATCAAGACCCCAGTGGGACCTCAAGGCAGATAAGTGGCTGATACTCAGCTCTTGCTCTGACCTAAGGCTGGGAGTGCTGGTTCATCTCACACCGAGCCCATGAGGCAGCTGGATGCCTTTATCTTTGGTAAGCATACCAGGAAATTCTGCAGGGAGTGGTTAATTGATAAGAATGATGAATTTACATTTATGCTGGTTCTTTGTCAGCCCCTTACACCAGAAATATTTTGCTGTCTACCTTCTCCTCATCGTTACAACCTKTCATGGCACTTAGCAAAACACATCRTACCAAGGAACTCCTCTTTTCCTTCCCAACAGGGCTGTGACTTCACGCAGTTGGAGAAGTTGAAGCAAGAACTGAGGCTCTTCCCACAGCAAGGTTTGTCTGTAGGGTGATGCACCTGGAAAATRTTCTGCCTGTGGTAAGCATCAAAGTGCCCTGGATAACTCTCTGCCCCAGACAACCCCACAGCTCCTCTYGTACCTCGTGGCTTACCAAGCATGGCAACAGATGTGGGCGACTTGTTGCTTTGTAGTTTGTTTGTTTGTTTGTTTGTGTGTTTTCATCTGAGATTTTCACGTTCTTGAAAGATGTTTTTGTTCTCCCTGTCTTTGAAAACTCTTGAAWATGTGCAACACAGAGGCTGAAAATGTGCTACCTAGAGGTTGAAAACCTGGAGGCAACACAGAATTTGAGAATCCATTATCTGCAAAATCTAAACCTGGTGACTTTCTGGGTCTTACTATCCTCAGATTTTGAGTCTGGCATGCTGAAAAGTTCTCAACAATGAGTTCAGGATTATTTCAGACCAACTATTTCCAGGATGGTACAAATAGATGTTTGGGGAAAGCTGACACTGCTGATATTTTTTCCATCACCAACCCCAGTCAGAGGAAAGGTACTGTGCTGCACAGACTTGTGGGGTGAACTAAAGTAAAAAGGTCAGAATAACTGTACACAGAGCATTAGTCATAGATCATAAAAATAATAACTTTACTTGCAGAATTATGAAAATCAGCACTGAAACTATTTTATCGATGAACTGAAAARCCAGAATGAAAAAGATTTGCTCTGTTTTTATTATTGAAATGGTGAGCTGTTCAATGTGTTTCATTCAGTCTTTGATGGAGATGACTTAAAACTGACATTCATTATTTTCATTTTTTTTTGCTTTAGCACACCTTGTTAGGAAGGACGCTCAAGCAGTCCTTAATTACAGTAAAAACTTCAATAAAATCCATGCATGTGTACCTGGATATCTATACATTGCTCTTCAGCACATAGCACCCCACTAAAAACAGTGTAAAAAAACACAAATAAAATTGTARAACAGCCATGTTAAAAAGTGAGTTAGTTGACCTACATAATGAGCACCATTTAAAAAAAATGTAGCTTCACTTCCCTCTATCTGTATTCTCTGCATTGCAGGGGGCAGTTATTTCTTGGTTTAATCATGTCTTTGACCACAGTTCATAAGTCAATATTCTGCTGTCAGATGCAGGCTTGCAATTGARGGATAGGTAAGGAACTTAACTAGGAAGCTTTGCGAATAGGGAATTGAATTTGCATCTAATTCACTAAGCACACATGTTTACATGACCTTTAGAAGGGAATTAGAGCAGTTTGATCATGAGCTCTAGGCAATCTGACATAGTGAGGTGATTGAATCAAGARGCTCAGGTACTTCTTACATGAGAGCTGAACTGAAAGAGAATTATTTTAATTTAAATGCAATTTCATATCAAATTCATAACTGTGTTAGCACATAAAATTAATGTAGTGGCAAAGTAAATGACTGTCCAGAAGCTTCTAGGGAAGCAACAAACACTCTAACACTGTCAGTTCATCCAGGCTCCTTCTTGCTGCCAAACAGAGCAGGAAGGATATTGTGGAGATTTGGTGTCAGAATGTGGCAACAATTCAGTTTTTAATTACTTTAAAAATACACCACCTTTGGGAAAGACAGACAATACCATGAACAGAAGTATAAAGCAGTTGTTAATAGAATCCTTGTCCACTGATATTAGGGCAAATATCTAATATTTACTGAGGTCAAATATATTACAACATTAAATTCCCAGAAGAACACCAAAGCTTGGTTAAATTACATAGGGACATTTAATTTCTAGACTCCTTTAATGCCCAACATTAGACTGCAAGTGTGCAAAGCACCATTTTGATTGTATTACCTGTCCCAYGTCCAAGAGCATCTTGTTCTGTGCAAGCACTACAAGCCTCTATGCATTTAGAGCACTAAGTTTTGAAATATGTAGAGAAAATAAGTACTTTTCAAAAGCAAAAAGGATATTAGAGTTCTTATTTACTCTCCAAATTTCAACAGCAAATTTTCAGGAGCATGTTAAAAGTTTGTCTCCTCACCCACATGGACATAGAGGATATGTGCCTCAGCATGCCTTACATTTCCAAGCTGGATAATGCATTGCTTACCGAGGGGAAAGGGAGGGTGGGAAAAACAGAATGTCTACAYAGACTCTGCCAGAAAGCTGTGAGTTTATTCTGTCTGTGATTCCAACAGACAAGGACCTTTTTGTGTGATATGTGACTCTGGGCAGACTCTTTCTTAGACATTGTCCATTGCCATTTTGGACAAGCCACTAGCCAGCTGTTCATCTTGTTTGATGTGGGAGAACAGGCAGAACTTCCCCCAAAAAGCAGCTGACCCTGACCAGTAATGCAGTGTGAGGGCTCTGTGGGGCAGATTGCCATTGGTACTAGGATTACCTATGTCYTCCCTGTGGCAAATGTAAAGTTAACAAGCAAATATTCCCAACACAAATCCTTTGAGATTTCACGGGATAATAAGTGTGAAGGAGTAGAATAGGAATGCAGGGTTTCCTATCCTTTTAATGGCTCATTAATACTAGTTATAAATGTTTAATGCTGATTACATCTTCATCCTGTACAAGGCTCCCAAATATTTGTGTCAACATTCTCCTCTTACTCCACAGGTTGCCTGGTTTATTGAGTGTTCCAGAATGCAAAGGCAGCTCCAGCAAGGTGACCTCCCTCAGCCCTGCTCCCAAGACTTTCCTAATTGTCCTATTTCAGATAGGCAGGTTTCTTCCAGTACAGCATGCCAAGGCCAGRTCAAAGAATAGGTTTCCTGGGTCTCTGCTGCGACACATCAGGGATATTTGAGATAGTGAATAGTAATATCAGAAAGATATAYATTGATATTAATATCATCTAGG